ATTGTTTTCTTAATTTGTGTGAAATAACCTAGAACGACAAGTAATATGAAACGGAGGGAGTATATAGATAATGGGTAAAACAAAAAATTTAATTGTTTTTTTAATATGTGTGCAAAAACCTTAAACGACACTTATTATGAAATAGAGGGAGTATCACTGACATTGACCAAATAGAATTGCCATTTAATGATTTTTCCACCTACATACATTTATCATTTTTGACATAATGAATATCAATTTTACATCTTTATCAGAGATTGTTTTTCTTTTCTCCATGAAGGTCTCTTGAATTTTATACATTGAGAGTTTTATGTAGAAAGGACAAAAACGGCTATAGGTTTTGGGTTCTTAGAAGTAAGTCGAAGATAATATATACTATAGTATTTTTTTTGGTGTGCTCGGTTTTGTAGCAAAGCGTTGATTCGGTCTCGGTTATAGTCCGGTTTACTTCAATTTTAAGTCAATTCAGACATTTAGGGCCTTATGTAGTTTTAAGGTGAGGTTTTGTTGTTGTGTAGAGTAAGTAATAAGACAAAGGTTGATCTTCGCCAGAACTGTTCTCTTCTCACATACTCAAAACGCATGTAAACATATACACATATCATGAAGGAAGAGGAAAATCAAACAATCCAGAAGATAATGATTGTGTTATCTCCTAGCGTTTTAACGTCCACTGTTCTTCGGTTTAGATGAGAAGAAACGGCCTAATCCTCGTGTATGCTTCTCATTATCTTCTTTAGAGGATGAAGAAACAGAGCTAGACTTGATGATAGCATGGACCGTTGGATTCACCGTGTGTCTAACAGAACGAGATGGTTGAATGATATTAGTATGAGGAAGATCATCTAGTCCAGAGTTTGGTGTTAGTTCTGAGGTTTTGTGCTTTTGAAGCTTCTTCTCAGGGGATTGAGATTTGAGATTGTGGTTGCTCTGAGGTTGTAAGGATTGTAACTGTTGGCTGAGTAAGTGAATTGTTTCTTGACAAGCTGCAAGTTTCTTTGTTGCGGATGCTATGTCTTTCTCCTGGAAACAAGAAAGTTGTAGATTATATAGTAGATGTAACAAAACGGATGCAAAAGCTAATCTTATCAAGAAGATATCAGTAAGAAGTGTGTACCTGATTAGGTTGGAGTTTGGATGATGAACAGTTTTTGCAAGTCTCATACCTATAGTATAAGTCCAAATTAGAAAACAAACTATGCATAGTGGAAGATTTAACTAAGTTTTACTTGTTATACCTTTGCATTTTTTCTTGAAGGTCTCTGCATTTAGCTAAAGTCTCCTCATGGCCATGCTTTTCTGATGCGAAAGCCATTTCTAGTCTCTCTGTCTCTTCTCCTAAGCTTTTCACTTTAGCTTTAAGATCTTTGGCATGAAGTTCAAGCGTTTTGTATGACTCAGTAACGCATTTAAGCTGAGTTTCTGCCAAGCTTTGGAGATCTTCTGAAGAAGTGAGCTGCGATTTCAGCTTCGATATGAGCTGCTCTTTTTCTTCCAACCCTGCCTTTGTACTTTCAAGATTCTGCAAACATCTTGATAATTCTACTGCAATGTTCTCTTTCTCCAATTTTAGCTGTTCCACCTCTTTCAACAAGCTCTTGCATGATGAATCATTCACCGCATGACCATTGATCAAGTTATCTACACAGTGATCTTCTGTCTTAGCAAATGTGTCTCTCAGTGGATCACAATCTGACTCTCCAATCTCTTTTTGTAGCAATGTAACTTTATCGTTGCTCTCTGCAACAGATGTCTCTTTACTAGCTAGAACTGAAATGCGGGAGAGTTCTAGAACAAGGTCAGAAAGGCTTGATTCACCGGTTGGATATTTACCTACCGATAAAGAGAAATCCTCCAAGCTATCCCTCAGTGGTCCATTCCCATTCATGTCCTGAAGTTGTGTTGCTTCCTTTGTAGTTGATTTTATGAAGTGGTGAATATTGGTAACAGCTGCTTCCAAATCTTGTTGCTTGGTGTTCTTCTGCTCCTTTTCGCTGTTTTGGGTATCCTGAGATGACAAAACATGTTTCTCTAGAGTTTCATCAGTAACTTCAAACAGATGACTTGACTTTTGTGTGGGTGATGATCCTTGCATCTCTTGGATCGAAAATCTTGTGGCTTCAACGATTTTCTCAACGCTAATGCCCTCTTGAGATTCAAATATCCTGTTGATTCTTGAGCGGAGAACTGTTAACAGCTGATCAAGTGTTGTTGTATCCTCATCTTGCTCACTGGACTTACTAGTGGATTGTTTTTCCACAGATTTACTACTGCAGACACTGTTGGAAGATTTTGAAGCTGAGTTAGCTCCATCTGGATCATTAGCTGCTAACTTTTCAATCTCCAGGAAGTCATCCATTAACTCCAGTCTACTAGAAATCTTAGGCTTTGAGGAACCATCAACACTTACTTTTCTCACTTTATGAGAATCTGCTGAGATTGCTGGGCCACACTCAGAAGAACTTCCTTCTTCATCAAATCCATCTTCGGATACCGAGATGACACTAGGCGGATAGTTATGATCATGACCACTGGATGGACTTTCAGAAAGATTTCTGCTATTTGATTTTGGAGCACTCTTGTCATTGTTAAACGTATGCATCTGCCCTTCAAGAATCTTAAGCTTCCCAAGAGTTTTTGCGCATACATTTCTCGAAACCTGCAGTTCATTGTTACGGGCAGCGAGATGTTCTTTAAGTGTCTGAATCTCCTCCTCCATTTCCAATGTACGTCTTGTGAGATATACATTCTCTCTTTCGCACTCTTCCAACTTATGATCAGCAGAAATCTCTGCCTTTGCAATGTGTGCATTGTGATTTTGAGACATGTTTCTCTGTGCTCGAGGGTCTGTGAATTCATGCCCTAAGCTTTCAACTTCTATTTTCATTTGAGCCATAGCAGCAGGACCAGGAAGCTTCTTCCGTAGAAGCCCTCTTAACCTTTGACACTCTGCTTCAAGTTTTGCAATCTTTTTCACACCTTCTAGATGCTGTTTGTTTGCGATTTCCGCTGACTTCAAACTCATGTTTTTCTCTTCGTTGCGGATCTCAACTTCTTTTGAAGCAACATGAACATCATACTTCAGCGTACTAATCTCCTTCTCAGCCAACTGAAGATTAGTCTTCAGCTTTTCCACATCAGCTTCAGCTTTAGACCTTTCCTCACTAATCCTTATAATCATCTCCGATCGTTCTTGTAACGATCTAGTGAGTGCTGCATTGTCAGAAGCTGCCCGGTGAAGTCCCTGGCTCAACTCATCGATCTTACCTTCAAGCTCGGCTTTGATCTTGTCCCAATGAGTGGTTTTGGCAAGAATCACATCTTGCAGCTTCTGGTCACTTTCATCTTTCACAATCCTAATCTGCCTTGTGCACTCTTTCAACGCATCATCCAAATGCGATGCTCGATCCTCTGCAGTGAGCTTTAAGAGTGTAACAGATTCAAGTTGACGTTTTAGAACCAAAGTTTCTGCATCAGCCTTTTCCCATCCTAAAAGAGCAAAAGACAAATCATCAACAAAAAAACATCTCAAAAACAAACACACAAGAATGATCAAATAACATTTCAAGAACTATAAAGGTTTTGTTGCTCTGACCTGAAACAGCTTCTTCAGCAACTTTGGCATGTTGAAGAATCAAAGATTCTTTAGTCTTGATCTGAGAGTAAGCAAGAGTGAGTTTTTCTTTAAGATCTTTAACTTCACTTTCAAACAATTTGACCTGATCCTCCATTCTACTCATATGTGTGTATGAATCCATAGTAATCTGAACATAGTTTGTGTTTTTACACTTCTCCTGACACACAAATCAAATACGAAAAAAAGACTTCAGCTTGGAATACAAACCTCACCAAAACTGACACATTATCACAAAACCATATAATAAAAACAGAGGTTTGGTTTTCAATTAAAGAACCTGATTCTCCAGAGAAGCTAAGTAGGACAAAGAACAAACAGGAGTTGACTCGTTTCCAACAACTGTTTTCTCAGTCGTGGCTTTGTCTGAAGACTTTCTCTTCCATGGCCAACCTCTACCGTCCATTTCTTTTGCTCCAAAATAATAGTACTCTGCAGAATCCGTAGAAAAAGGAAGAAATTAAGCTTTAATAAATAACAAAAACAAAAAACTGAAAAAAGTTTTGAAATTTGAACTAACATACAAAAAAAGGAAACAAAATCTTCCGTAAATGTTACTTTCAATTTCATCCGACAAAATCCCTCTATATATTTATTATACTGTATAAGCTCAACAATGACCGTTTTGTTGTTTCTTTCTTTTTTTTCTGCAGTGAATCACATTTAATGATTTCTTCCCAAAATTATGTAACCAAATTCCAATTTATTATTTTTATTCAAATAACAAAAATTGGAAAGTTAAATACAAAAAAATTCAAATCACATTCCAATGGGCGCGAGTTCTTCACATTAAACCCGATCATCTATCATCATCATCAGCTACACTATCTTCTTACTTAGAAAACAAAACAAGTTGAAGAATTTCAATCTATTCATGCTTAAAGCTTAGCTAAAAGTCGGAAAGAGGCATCATACCGATAGGAATGATTCCACAGGTTTGAGAGCCCACGAAGATCGTCGAGAGAAAGAAGAAGAAGAAGAAGAAAGTGGGAGGAGCGTGTTGGTGCCAGAGAAGAAGGAACGCTGAATGGATTTTTATGCGCTTTTTTTCAACTTTGACGCTCCACAATGAGACAACAACATCTCTATATTTCAAAAGAGGTTATTTTATTCAATTAAAATCCATTTTAAATAAAGCTAAATAAATCGCCATTTGTTGGTTCTTTTTCAAAACGGAATACGAGGAGACAGCTATCTTGTACGGGCAGGTGCATGTAAAACCTCCTGACATCTGATGGATTTGACTTATATCCACCAAAGATTCAAAATCTTCCCGGTTTTTTAGTTTGGGCCTTTCTTAAAGCCCAATTAGTGGTCCACTAGGGTTTTTGAGAGACTCTGGATATAAACCTGATTTTGTTCATTGCTGTTATTCGCCGTAATCTGGAGAAGACGAAGACGAAGCAAATCTCCGTAATTATCCATGGGTCGTGTTATCAGAGCTCAACGTAAGGGAGCTGGTTCCGTCTTCAAATCCCACACTCACCACCGTAAAGGTCCGGCCAAATTCAGAAGCCTCGATTTCGGCGAGAGAAATGGTTATCTCAAAGGTGTCGTGACGGAGATCATTCACGATCCAGGACGTGGTGCTCCATTAGCTCGTGTAGCTTTCCGTCATCCTTTCCGATTCAAGAAGCAGAAGGAGCTTTTCGTTGCTGCTGAAGGTATGTACACCGGTCAGTTTCTTTACTGTGGGAAGAAAGCTACTCTCGTCGTCGGAAATGTTCTTCCTCTCAGATCTATCCCTGAAGGAGCTGTTGTTTGTAACGTTGAGCATCATGTTGGTGATCGTGGTGTTTTCGCTAGAGCTTCTGGTGATTACGCCATTGTTATTGCTCACAATCCTGATAACGACACCAGCAGGTTTGTATTCAATACTTTTTTTCTGGTGATTGGATTGATTAGTGATGTATAATGTAATGTTTTGTTCTGCTGAATTGTTTTGTGTGAATGAATTTGATTTATCTCGTGGACCATTTGGCTTTGAATCAGATTCAAACCCTAGCTCTACTGAATTGTGATTGCGTAGGATTGGATTAGATTGTAGTGAACAACAGTTTTTGTCTACAGTTCTCTCTTTTGATGACGACATTGTTCTCACATTTATGAATTTACACATGATTTTGATAGGATTAAGTTGCCATCGGGTTCGAAGAAGATTGTACCAAGTGGATGCAGGGCTATGATTGGTCAAGTTGCAGGTGGTGGAAGAACAGAGAAGCCAATGCTTAAGGCTGGTAACGCATACCACAAGTACCGTGTGAAGAGAAATTGCTGGCCTAAGGTTCGTGGTGTGGCTATGAATCCAGTTGAGCATCCTCACGGAGGAGGTAACCATCAACATATTGGTCATGCAAGTACTGTTCGTCGTGATGCACCACCTGGACAAAAGGTTGGTCTTATTGCTGCAAGGAGGACTGGTCGTCTCAGAGGTCAAGCTGCTGCTCTTGCTTCCAAGGCAGACTAAGGAGAGAAGGATTCAAGATGAAACTTTTCACTTTTTTGGGATTTTTGTTGAGACCTTGTTTTTACTATCATGTTCTTTGATACCTTTCTCTGTCAAGTAGAATCCATGTCTACAGGGTTGAACCTTAAAATTATTATGCAACTTATTTTTTTGTTATCTGTTAAGATTTTTGTTTCATTTAACTTAGGTTGGATTTCGTTTACTATAGGATTCATGCGTCAAGACCATCGTGATTAGACTATATAGTTAAATAAACTCGGTCCAAAACCAAACTAAGTAGCAAATTCAAAAGATTCGTTGATTCGTGGATCAAAACCAACGAAATCAAATAAAACATTATTTATGGTCATTCCTCTCTGTATATCCTGATTTTCCATAATAAACTAAAAACGTTATAATATTGTACATTTTTTAAAAATGACTTTCAGTCGATCGATTTCAAAGCCGGGCGACGCCTAGTTAAATAGACTCCACAACTCTTCACCGTACAGCTCCCATCTAGAAGCTTCTCCTGATTGTTGACGGGAAAGAAATCAAATACAACCAGCCCAGCGAATATATCTGGGTCCTCTCCTTTACCAGAAAACGCATGCAAATTGAGATCACAGAAGACAAACAAATGATCCTTTTGAAACTTGTGAAAACCTTCCCCTGGAGTCCAACAATGAAAAGTTTTTTCTAGACTTCTAGAGACGCCTTCCTTGTCTTTCCATCTCCGAACACACCTAACACCAAAACCAATAGCCTCATCGTAATCATCCGAAATTGCAACTTCAATAAATATAACAAAGCCCAGGAGCGTGCTTATAGAAGAAGGATCCAGTCGCATCGTTGCAGAAGATCCTGCTGGCAGATTAAGTGTGGGTTTTTTAGTTGCAGGTGAAGGCACACTGAAGCTGAAAGCCAGAGATTCGTTGAGTTCCTGTTCATGCAAGCCAGAATAAATCAGATATGACAAGCCGTGCCACAAACAGAGAGGGGGAGAAAAAGAGAGTTACCTGCTTAAACTCTCTTGCTATGCCTTCTACATCAGCCAGAGCTTTTGCTAAAAATTTTGTGATCACTTGTGGTGAAAGAGCAGAACAACCACTGAATGTGTAATACCTAGGAAGGTGATTGAAACCAAAAGGAATTGCTTTGAGTGACACACAGCCATGTGCATTCAAGACTTCTAGACTTTGGGGAAGCTGTGGAAGTTTTTTTACAGCGGTGCCACCAATATATAACTCTTTCAGGTTTCGTGGGAAACCCTGAATATCGTCGAGCTCTGAGCATCCAGACAGATTAAGAACTTTCAGAGATTCTAAGTCAGCCATTTGAGGAAGACTTCTCAAATGGACACAATCTTTCATATTCAGGCAAACAAGTTTACCAAGATGGTGATAAGATAAGACTGCTTCAACCACGCTTGGTAATCGCTCATGGTTCAAAGCATCTGAAACCCCTGGGAATTCTGTTAGAAAATTCGAAAGCTCTCGGTTCAGCTTAACATGCGGGGAGAGGTTCACAGTGGATATTGGTAGTTCTCTGATGCCAGTTCCCTGGAGATGTAGTTCCTCAATATTTGGTGAAACCTCTGGAAAGCTTCTAATCTCAGTGCAACCTGAAAGGTTTACAACTCGTAGATGCTGTAATTGACCCATGGCTGGAAAACTCTGCAGTTTTGAACACCCCTGGAGATCTATTAGCTCGATATTTTGAGCTTTACCAATATCATTAATCTCATTTAGCTGCTGGGAATGACAAAGCCTGACCATCTTCAGCATCTCGAGGTTCTGAACAGAAAATTATATTGGAAAAGGAATAACATATATTTGGAGAAAGGTATAAAGACAGTGGATATGAGTTTGCCTACCTTAGTTCCTCCCCAAAGTTTATGAAGCTGACTATAAGACAGATTGAGTTCAACAAGGTGACATGGGTCAAATTCTTGTGGCAAGGATTGTAAAGGATAGTTCACCCAGTGGAGGAGTCTTAGCTCATAAGGCAGAGACTCAAGTCCTTTTGGAAGGCGGAGTCCAAAATAGGTTTCATAACTGGAACAGAAAATCTTCAGGTATCTAAGGCTTAGCATATTTTCAAAAGCACCAGGCTTCACATCAAATATCAAGTTTGATATGTCCAGAAATATGCCTTCAATGTCTTCAGTCCCCTGAAATACAAGGGAATGAGATAGATCAAGTAGTTGCTTCATCTACAAAGGTACTCAATATTTGTATAAAAAATATTAGAATATGCCAAACCAGAGCATGTGTATAGGTAGCTTTGGGATCTCCATATGTTTCGAGTTTGGCATCTTCAAGTAGGAATCTGATGGTCCTAGGTTCCCACAGTCTGCGACACCTCTCTATCTGTACTGTTTGGCCATTGCTTATTTCTCGGCCAAAGTCTTGGATTATTCTGTGCATTTTCACTCTGTTTTCTGAAATAGTCATCAGACACTTCTCCACAAGAACACCAATCCCAACATGTGGAAAAAAACCACACCCCTCAAGCAGTTGTATCACATAATCAACATTTTCTCCCTCGAAGAAACAAGCAATGTCCAGAAAAATGTTCTTCTCATTGTCATTAAGTGCTTCGTAGCTGCTCTTGAACAAATCATGAATCTCATTTGGAGTACGTAACTTGAGTTTGAGGAATGTGGTCTCAATTTCTGATAGTTTCTTTCCCTTAAGCTCTCTGCCGTAACATCTGAGAGCTAATGGATTTCCATTAGCATAGTCAATCACTTCCTTTGAAAGTTCCAGGAGATTTTGTTCTCTTATATGTTTACCAAATGCACACTGAGAGAACAGCTGCAGAGCCTCATTCTCATTTAAGCTTTGAACCTCATACACATGATTGATCTGAAAATGGCGGAAAACTTGTTTATCTCTGGAGGTTATGATTATCAGGCTTCCCGGGCCAAACCAATGGAACCCTCCGAGAAAAGATTCAGCAACCAAAGAATTGTGCACATCATCAAGAACAACGAAAGTTCTAATCTTTCTTAACTTTTCTCCCGGGAGGCTAGATCTCGTAATGTTTCTGGATTCACGAGGCAATTCCTTCAGAATTTTCCCAAAATGTTCCTCCAACAAACGGTGAAGCCCCTTCTCATGAAAAGCCATGTCAAAGTTTTTGATAAAACAAGAAGCTTCATAGCCTCCAGAGATTTGGTCAAAAACTGTTTTAGCAAGTGTCGTCTTGCCTATGCCAGGCATACCCCAAATTCCTATGCGACGAATACCCCATGGTTGCTTGCAAAGCAATTGTTCTATCTCCATCACCCTCGTGTTGATTCCAATTTGTTGCGTGGGAAAGAACTTTTCACACACATCTTTGACAATCTCTTCCACAAGTTCCCACTCGCTACATTCCTCCCTGTTTGCATAAATATAAAAATCATAATGGAGAAAACATTATTGAATACCGAGGAGCACAAATGTTTTCGAAATATTGCCTCGCATTTTGTGAATCCTATAGTTAAATCTATATAATACCATATTAATTCCTTATAAAACCCTCTAATTTGTACTACTTTTCTTTGTGGTGTTAGATTTGATAGGTGGAAAGCATTTTGAAGTATAGTGTTATTTTCTTATAAAAATGCAAGCAACATAGTAATCCATACACAGTTACCTATACTGGTGGGCTGGTAATGCTTTCAGTTCTTGGAGCGCGCTACTCCATTCTCTTACCCGATCCGCTGACTCATGCTCCTGCACCACCAAATTTGATGGACTAATGCCGTAGAATACTGGAACCACCAGCTGGCCGGTTTTCCTCTGGCACTGAAGAATCCTCACGAGCTTGTCTAGGCATGAGGTAGAGGAGAAGCAGCTCTTGGAGAAAATCACCACGGAAGCGCTAACTCTATCTATTACATCCGGAATTTCATTGCAATTCACAAATGCATCAATGCATTTCCGACGGAAATCCATGGAGAGGTGGCTGGCAAAGGAGTATTGTAATCTATCTTCACAGTAAATGTAGACAATTTCTTTGAAAGCTCTTTCACTTGTATATAAATCTTCCTAAAGAAGGACCAAAAAAGTGAGTGTTAGATGGCAATTTATCAAATGAATTCAAATATGCGGAGATCAAGGCGATAGCAATGGAGAACAATGACTTGAATCCCACATGCCTTTAATTTTTGGTTTGTGATGATAAGCTCTTGCCTCACTTCCGAGAAATCCTTTGCAAGTTCTTCCATCCTCGCATTCAATTCACCATCGCGTAAAGGGGATATATGATGATGAGATAATTCTTTATCATCAGAGGAATAGTAAGTTAACTTTAAAATGCTCCCTATTTCTCCGTTAACGGTATTCCTTAACCTCGGTAGTTCCTCTTTCAACGCCTGCTTAGACATTCCCCGAAGATGGGAGCCCATAACCATTAGTCCCAGAGGGAGTCCACCGGAAAGTTGTGTAACTTCCCTAGCAAGATTCTCAAAACCATCATATGGAGACGTTTGACCAAAAGCATACATGCAGAAGATTTTAAAAGCTTCATCAGGGGTTGGAAGGCCCACCTCGTAAAAATGGTTAATCTCATGTGCATTCAAAAGCTGTCTATCTTGAGTTATGATAATAATCCGACTCCCAGGACCAAACCACCGAGTTTGTTTCGCCAAGGCATTTAATTGTCCTAAGCTATCCACGTCATCAAGAACGACTAACACTTTTTTGTCGTTCAACCTTTCTAGCAAAACTCTGAAATGATGAATCTTGATATCCTTCTGGTTGATGATCTCAGACAAGAAGTCTTGCTGTAATTGCAATTTCGCACTGTTCTCATCGTAACAGGGTCTTGGATAACGTCCTTTGATATCCTCCATGAAGACACTAAGTTGGAATGTAGCAGAGAGTTGGTTAAACAGAAATCTGGCAATTGTGGTCTTACCAATCCCAGAAGGACCCAAGATTCCTATCATCCTCACTTCATCTGAGTCTAGGCATAACATCGGTTCCAACTTTTCCATATGAACTCCCATCCCAACTAGACCGTCAAAATCCTTTGGTTGAGTGGATATATTCAAAAAATTTGAAATATCAGAGGCTATATCTTCACTCATTGCCGCTTCATTATCCCTAAGAAAGAGGGGAGGATTTAATAAAAAAATACTAGCAAATAGTCATGAATAATTTACATATACATTTAAAAAATGTGAATTTATTTGATGTGTTAAAAAAAATTAAGAACATACAAGTGGCAATCAAAAGAACTAACCAGTTGCTGGAATGGTAACCAGCGATTGTGGCCACTTCTGCCAAAGCTTGTCTCCATCTCTTAATGTCCTCCTTTGTTTTACCCTTACATGTTTCTCTGAAAACCTTGCCAAAATCTCCGGACAGCTTCTTTACATCAAGTGGATCTACTTTATAGAATATGGAGAACACAGTTTGACCCAACTCTTCCTTGCACTTGATAATCTCCACCAATTCGTGAAGACACCACTTTGAAGAAGCATAGTTCCTCGAGAGAAAGACGATCGCGATCTTAGAAGCTCTAATCACCTGAATGAGTTCGGGACCAATGGATTCTCCTCTCTCGATCTCATTATCGATGAACGGTGTGATTCCCTTAATTCGAAACTTCTTCAAAACATGACTGAAAAAGTCACTGCGGACATCTTGCGCGCTATAGCTCGGGAAGACATGGTGTGTCCAATTACGAGACGAAATAGATGAAGAGAAAGCCATTATTTTTGCTGTTTTGTCGATTGGATCTGAATCTCTGATAGGATGTTTCCTATCGCCAACATATTTTTTCGTGAAAATAAAGATAGATAGATCCAAGTCGCTGATCTGAGTTTCGTTTGGTCAATTGTTTTTGATAAACCCAGAATTGGGCTTATCGAGAAAGAGAGAGAGAAGAGAAAGAGAAAGGGGAAGCAAATGGGCTTAAACGATAATCTAAAGACGAAACCCACATAGGCCCAATAAACTCATTTTGTTGGAAGTCTCGTTTCTAAGCCGCTTAGAGCATGATTAACGGGAGTATGTTAGGTAGATCTTAGGAAAATCTTAGGAATAAAAATGATTAAATTTATTGAATTTTCTCCTTTAACACTAAGCAACGTTCCTTAAGAGGCTTTTATTCACATAAGAGACATACACGTGTCAAGCTTTTATTCTACTCTTTTCCCTCTCTCTCTTCTCCTCCCCTCTCTCTCTCTTTTTCACGCGAACCATGGAGGATTGGAGGCTGTCGATTTTTAATTTGGCTGCATATCTGGGTTGATTAGTTCTTTTTCTGCATTTTTTCTAATTTGCAGGGATCTTTTGAATTAATTTGTTTCAATCTAATTGTCATGGTTTTTTGCTTGTGTGGATTATTCTGATAATTGGATTTGATATTTGTTTTATTGAGTCTTTCATAGACTCGTGGTGGAAACAAAAAATTGAAAAAAAAAAAAAAAACGATCATCTTTGTTTTATCATCGACTTGTGTAGTCAAAGGCATTGGTTTTGGTGGTTTTGTTAATCGTATTGAAAAATCACGTTGTTATTGATTCATGCTTTTTTGTCCATTGATAAAGCTTAGAACTCGATCTATTATTACTGGGTTTATTCACATTCTGGGTTTTATGCAGTTTAATTTATTTATTATTGCATAATATAGTGAATTTTAATTTCTGATATTTTGTTAGTATAATAATTTGGATTTTGTTTCTCGTGAACAGATTCGATATTGATTATGACTAACAATGGTAATAACAAGTCGATGATCGATGATGCTTCGTTCGTTGATTGATAATGGTTAGAATTCACATATTCTACATATATGCCTTCTAATTTCTTCGATAATAGAGCTCGAGTTCGTGATCGCGGTATGCATCAACAATTGAAGAATGATTTGGTCGAGCATATATGGACAAAATATTCCAGAAATTAAATTTAAAACATTTGTGTTTTATATTATTTATGTTCTAAATTGTATCTCATGTATGTTTTAATTTTTTTTTATTTGCAATAATTATTAAATTTTCTATAATTATAAATTTTATTTTTATATTAATTTTTTTTTCTAAGAACCACATGTTAAGAGTCTACCATTAATCACACAAAAATCTTAACTCAAAAATACTATCTCTTAACAATCACTTTTACAAATAAATTACTTAAATATTGCTAAGAGGTATTTCTAAGAGACTACCTATAATCATGCTCTTAACCCTTTTTACTTCTTACTTTCCTTAATGAATAATGGTAATGTTACAACCACAAAACATATATATATATACTGCATTTTATCTTAACCTAACTACAGTAACCTAACTACAGTAAAACCTCTATAAATTAAGAGAAATTGTTAAAAATGCCCCTTTTTCAATACCCCTTTTCAAAAATGCCCCCTTTGAGAGTCCATTTTTAAGTTTGCCCTCTTTTAATTTTTAATGACCATTTTACCCTTATTTGAAACAAAATTAGGTCAACAAAATACAAAATATTTGTTGGCCGGAAAAGTGATCCCGCAATTTTTCCGCCAAAACACTTGTAAAAACCTTTAAAATACCTTGTAAAATTTTCCCGCCAAAAATTTTTTTTGCGGGAAAAGTGATTCCGCAATTTTTTTGGAGGGAAAAATTTACAAGGTATTTTAAAGGTTTTACAGAGTATTTACAAGTGTTTTGTAAGGTTTTACAATGTATTTTAAAAGGTTTTACAAGGTACTTATAAGGTTTTATAAGGTATTTATAACTTGTAAA